GGATGGAGTTAATTGGTCAACTGCAACCAATATTTTAATCCTGGTCTTTAATATTAATGAAAAGCCAGCAGCTGTGGTTCTGATTATGGGACTGTTACCAGAGGGTGGGCACCAGGCTTACACTTTCACATGTGGAAGGGGAGGTGAGGGCTGGGCTGGCCCTGCTTCCAACGTGCCCATCCTTTGGTTGTCCCTGCATGGCTTAGTCTTCATCTTACTGAAAATTAATGTGAAGGGGTTAGAACAGATACCACCTGAAGTCCCTTCTAGCTCTAACATTCTATGATGTTCTTTGCTGGTTTCAGCAAAGTCATGAGGAAGCTGAACATGTAGGAAGCATAAAAAGTGCTGTCAATCGAAACCTTACTAGGACCATGTTCACAGGGAGGGCAGGAGGGAGAGGAGAGAATGAACACTGGATGGGTCTGTAACATGACCACTCTTTCAATGAATGGGGACGATCTTTCTTGGGTTAGGGTTAGGCTTTACCTTGTGTTGTTCCTGGGAGTTAACTTGATTATCAATTGCCCAGTGAAAGAACCAACGAAAATACTGCTGTCAGGATCTGCATGCAGAATGACAAGCCTGCGATATCCTGGGTCATGTAACCACAGTGTATGGTGTAGAGGTCTTAGCAAGCAAAAGCGAGGTGTAGCTGCATCCCTCTGGGCAAAGGCCAGTGAGCTGTGAAAGTAGTTCGTGTAGCATCTATCCCAGATTCGCTTTGGGACCAAGAGGTAACACGAGTGCATCTGTCTGCAGTTTTATGAGAGCAGATTTTATTAGCCACCAAAATAGCCTAGTGACACCAGGCTGAGTCTTCTGGTAAAGTTTTTGTGAACTTAATGATTTTATTGTAGGGAAAAAAAATGACAAAAATCTTTTGTATTAGGTAGGTGAGCATAATAATCTTTTCCAAGAGAGCATCCATGCAATAGTGTGAAAGATGAAAGTTTGTAATTATGTACAGTTGTAGGAATGGCAGCAGCATTCTCAGACCGACTCAGACTAATCTGGTTTAAGCTCCAAATATGACCTACATTAAAAGTGGCAGAATCTGATGGAGCATAGTGAGAAATTTTCTCACTTGTTCTAAATCCTGGAAACTTTACAATCCAGCCTGACACAAAGGAGGGATATTTCTGAGCATATCTTGGAGAAATTAAATGCGGTGTTTATGTAGGGCTAACAAATAAACAAAGATCTGTGCTCCCTCTGCTGGCTCTCTATAGCAAAACTGAAGCAGAAAAGAACCAGAAATAGTGTTGGCATCTTCAGCAAATGCAAGTCAATTTGAGGATATTGAGAAGAACCAGTCATTTAACCCGCGTTTAGACATTCTTTGGGAAAAAATCCATTTTTATCAATTTCTGACCAAGGTACTTGGAAATTCTTAAAATTAGATATTAAATTAGACATACCTATAGTTCTGACTACCAAATTGCTAGCTGCGACTGTAACAGTGATTTTGGGATTCGTTTATCAACAGACACAAGTGGACTCCTCCAAGACACAATCTTTAAAGCAGTTCTGAAAAAAAAATCTGAAGTCCAGTCTAAAGTTTCTCTTCTCTCCTTTTGTTCTATAAGAGCAGCTTCCAAAAAGTAAAGATTTACACTACTTATATCCTTTCCGATAATGTCAAACATTAGACTTGATTTTCCAAATCATTAGCATGCAGAAGAATGACCTCATGGTGAACAGATGCACTTGGCTGTGAGCTGCAGTGATTACATCAGTCCCTCCCAGCAGTCGAGGGTGCCCATTTCAGTTAACCCTTTAAAGGCATCTCTGCTGGCCCCTTCCTTGGTAACATGACTGAAAACACAAACTTAGTTCCCCTCCCCAATATGTGGGTGTGTTAAATGCATATATATGCATAAAACATATTGATGTTAATTGCAACCAATATTCTAACACTGGCTACCTTTTAGATTATTTATTGCTGGTCAATAAAAGAAGGAATCAATAAAGAAAGGCAAATTATAGGGCTAGGTAAAAAAGTAGTTCAAAAGTATCTATTACACACCAGGTGTTATCAGTACAAGTAGTGGACAGAATAGATACAAGGTAGCTGTGTTTTCTGATTAGGAAAAGAGGTTTTTATAAAAAACCCCCACAAAACTTAGAAAAAAATTGAGCACTCATGTATTAGCCCCCACATGCCCACCCATGCATCTTGAAGAGAGGTATGTTCACTTGGCCAACGCGCCTCCCCAGGGCTCCCTGGGAGGATGAACAACAGTACTGAGCAGGGACAGTCTGAGGTTTTTTCCAACAGCGGCATCTTTGGGCATAGGCCATTCCCACCTTGTGCATCTCTTACGCTTCCCTGAGACTTACAGGCTGATATTGGGCCTTTCTTGTAGAAGTGGGGGCTGCATGCTGCTTTCTGGCTTGCCACTGCAAATACAGTGTGGAGAAAATGCTTTGTTCAGGGAATAAATACAGTGTTCAGGTGACTCTCCCTCTTCATTAGCTATAAAGCCTCTTGTTGTGAGGATACAAAGAAAACCTAGGAGCCCCTAATTCCTCAGACTGCATATGCATGTGAGCAGGAGCCCAAGGCCCTGCTTTGATGACACTGACGGCCAGAGATGGTCTGATTGGGTCCTCAGCGCACTGTGGGAGCTTAAGCCGCTCAGGGTCAATTTTTCCACTTGGCTCGTTGCTTGGAAGAGCAGACTTCACCTCAATATCTTAGTTTAAGCTGGCTCATCTGGGTTTGACTGTACTTGTCTCAAGAAAAGAAAACACACTGTGAACAAATGAAAAACGTTTTCATCTGTAAAAGTAGTAACAGGGACAGGGATTCCTCATAAGCAAAACCAGTATGTAAATGAGAAGAGGATGTGGTTCTGAAAATGTGCATGCATCTGGTGCTGAAATGTTCCACCCTCATGGTACTGCCCTAAATTGCAGTTCAAATCAGGTTTATTTCTAGTTCCTTCCTAATCATTGTTATGGACAGATATGCCAAGATTTAAACTCACACTCAAGGATAGATAGGTGTGATATGCGTATTAAAAATTATCAGTCAACACTGAATACCCTAAAACATGAACATTATGTAATGTAATACTGATGTTAATAATTTGAAAAGAGGAAGGGTCAACATTTACCTTGATATCCTGTGTTTGGTTTCATGCTCCTTTTATAAAAGTTCCAATGCCCATCCTTACATACTTTCAGAATATTTATCTTTTTAATTAGCTTTTGAAAATACGACATTTTCTAAGAAGCCTATTAAAAATCCTCAGGTAGAGGCCTTAAAAACTCAAATTGCTCCTAGAGTCTCACCAAAGATGTTATCTATGTACTGACTCATTTGAACTGGCTTAAATAATTATAAACATTTGGAAAAGATCTAATTAATTTATATAGAGGCTAAAATATACATAGAAATAAAGTCCATCATTATTTGTTTCGATTGCATCTTAATGAATAGCCTTAAGAATGTAACAGTTGAGTTAAGGAATGTAAACATCGAGTTATTATTTTATCTTTTTCTTTTAATTTTAAGAAATAAAAAGCTTTCTCAAGAATTAACAAAAAACCTGCACTGAAAAATCATGCTCCCATATCTCATGGGGATGGGAAAAAGCTAAATGAGATCTTTAAAAAATGTGCTTTGCTACAGATAGATCCTTCATGTTCTTTCACCAAAAAAATTAGAAACAATTTCAAACCTCTAGCCAGACTGGGGTATGAAATCTTCATTTCCCTTGAAATGGATTTCTTTTTTCCTTAGATAGAATGTTGGCAGAGTGTATAAAAGAATTCAATTCACAGCTGTTCTACTTTTTTAATGTAAGAAACATTAATCAAAGCTTTAAGTTATAAGCTTTTCTCATGTTGTTTAGTATTCCAGTTCAACAAAGATCAATAGAGGCCATCCCTGTGTTTCTTGACGCCTCCCCAGGAAGCAGAGGCGTGATTATGTAAATCGCGGGCTCCTCACCTCTGCCAGCTTGCTTATCTCCCAAGCCTTCTGCCTGCTGCTCCTGGCTCCCTGTGCAAGTGCATGCCTCTCCCTCTTATCTCCCAACAAAGCTCCAAGAGGCAGGGATTGAAGCCAGCTATGTCAAACAATGATGCATGGCTGATTTTATTTGTAAGTGATTTATTTCACTGAATTTAATTTTTTTCACTTTGTGTGTAAGATATTCGTTAACAAGTCAGAATAAGAGAAGTAAGGCAGTGTTCAGAGACAATTGACACAGGTTAGAAATCTATTAAACACTCTAACAGTTGTTTTTAAACCAGTGGAAGATGAAGGAAGCCCCTCATTGAGAATTTCAACATGCGTTGACTAAATATCCCATTTACTCTCTAAAAGGCAATTAATCTGTAATTACATGCAGAAATTTACAAGTAACAATTCTATTCTTTGAAAAAAAAACCACAGTAATCATATAACCAGTTTAAGTGGCAGTATACATCTTTTTTCAAGTTGGAAATATAAAAAGAGTAAAACCCTAAAAATAAGGAAATTCATGGAAATGTTTGCAATTTTCCACTAGACTAATATGAAAATGATAGTAAGCCAGTTTCTAAACGGGTTCCACACCAGGTGCTGCTCTGGTCGGCAGCTTGTCCGCATGACACAGACCACTCCAGAGAGGCTCGGGCATGCTGCACTGCTGTAATGACAGACCTGGGGACACTGTCCTTCCATGTCTCCTGCATTAATCCCTGACCCTAGTATCTCAGCAGCATAATCCCCATTTAGCATTAGCAGCAACGACTTCGACTGTGAGGAACTCTTTTTTGATAAGTAAGCACTGATTCGGGCATCGCTTTTAAACAACATATTCCCAGCTCAGCAAGAAACCCACACTCCTGAATGAACTGGCGCACATTACTGAGAAAAAGTTCATTAACCTTGCTAGATTCGGAGGTTAACAGGATAGCTGAAGAAAGGAACTGAGTGAACAGCTCAGATACAAAACAAATTAAAGTGAACGTCATCATTCCTTTTGATATTCATTAGTTGATTCAGAGGGAGAATGCTCTTCTTAAATTTGCAAGCATTTATCTGTGAAAAACAGGTGTACATCTGCAGCTTGAATGCGTCTTAAGCTCATGAGAGAAGAATAATGTAGACACTCACCCGTTCCGCCGAGGGAGTAGCTGGGAGAGGGAGAAAAAACTTGGGCTGCGAAATCCTCAAATGTCATTACTTCGCGGTGGTTCTGAATTATTGCTTCAAGATATTGAGCTCGCTCTTCGTAGCTGCAGTAATTGGTTAAGGAAACGAACGCACGTGCAACATGGAAAGCAGAACAGTGACACAGCTCACTTTCTTTTGAATACCTCATGCAACTTTTACATTTGTGTGTATGAAAAGCACCTTGCAAGTTCTTTTGCATCTTGTCAGAAAATTAGACATTAGTCATAATTAATAATACAACTCTGATTTTGAGACATAAGTTTCTCTTAGACTTCAATTGCATTCAACACTAGTATCACTAGTAAATAGGTAAACCAAGAGTTATAGAATAACATGATAAGATCATCAAAGTTGATTTAGACAAACAAATGAAAACAAGAGATAATGACTGCAGCAGCATTTCTTTCCACTGATGACTGTGGGACAACACTGGACCTTCACTTCCTATTTCGGAGGATAAGCCATTCTCAGCCTACCGACACAATGAATTGATACTTCAAGCAAGAACCGGTGATATGATGGTGCGCACACTTTCTATAAATAAGAAAATGCAGATTACTGGGAAAAGAGAAGGCCAGGAAGGTATACTCTGAAGGGGCATCAAAGTCTCTAACCAAAGAAAGTTATGAGCATTAGAAAATAAAAACTAATATATGAGAGAATCTAGCAAAGAGTGCACAATGCAATAAAAAAAAAGAGACTATTGCCTTTTAATTAAAACTGCAGTCTGGAACACACAGCATTCAAATGTGTAATCAAAAACCAGTCACCAATAAAACTTACAAGCGTAACACACTGAAGCAACTTTCCAGCTGTCTTAATAGGACCCCTGCGTGTGGCAGCCTTTCACAGGGCAGAAAGCAAATCTTCCCCTTTTGTGTGTGGCTTCTGTTTCCTTGGAAGGTGAATCATGCACTTCCAATAACAGGATAACGTCAGAACAATCCGACAATGGCTGGAGGCACCGCATGTACGACTTTATGAATTAATAGGTGGGAAGTCAGCATGACGTCTCATTTTCCCCTTCTTCATTATCAATGCAAAAGTTAACAGACATGTTTCAGTCATTTTGAAAACCATGCCAATTCTCCAGAAACACAGGGAGTGAGCATCACCATCGCTTTATCATTTGCAGCTCCAGAAGAGGAAAAGTAATTCTAGCATTTCTCACTGTATTTTAAAACTATCTTTTTTCAAAATGGCCTCTTTAAGTTGGTGACAATTATGCCCTTCCAATTAGCTTTCAATAGAGCATGTGTTTTAAAATAGGCGAGTACTTTTGTATTCTCTTTTGGCAAAGGAGGCACATCAATTTCCAAATGCATGCTCTTTCTCTCCCTATTCCTTTAGTTATATTCGGAGGATGATTTTCACATCAGGATGAGACCAGAGGCATTCTAGGGTTGTGCTGTCTAATATGGTGGCCGCCAGTCACATTGGGCCATATAATCTAAGTTTAAATTTTAATTAATTAAAATGAAAAAAATTCAGTTCCACAGCCCCACTTGCTGTGTTTCGAGCACTCGGTAGACACACATGGTTACTGTGCTGGCCAGCGCAGATACAGGACATGCCCAGCAGTAGAGCCCTACCAGACAGCCATGTGCCAGAATTTCTCTTTAAGCTTGCTCTATGCAACTTCAAACACAGAAAATGAGCCTGAGGATTTTAAAAGTTGCCCCTCTGCTGATTTCTGATCTTTTCTCTAGACAGTCACAATAGCCCGAGGCCTGGGCAGCCTGAGCCTGAGCTGGCTTCTCGACTGCGGGCTGAACTCCTGGTGACTCGTCTTAATGAACAGGCTGCCAAACTTCCTCCACGAGAAGCGCCTGCTCAGGCCCAATTCTAGAGGGACCCACTAATGCCATTCACGTCTCATTATGAACACGCTTATTCTGCACAGCACTTGGCTGTCGCCACGGCTTGGCCCTCCGTGCATGGCCCCAGCAAGCCGCTGGTCTGGGGAACAGCAGGACGTTAGGCCTGAGTGGCCGTCTGGCGAAGAGGCACTCTGACACTAAGCTGGCACGTGCTGGCCCAGCAGGGGCTGAGTGAGGCGTGACAAATTACTCAAAGAGCTGAGCTAAACTTACAGCTGACAACCACCTGAGCCTTCAGACCGCTGTCAACGCTCAGTTCATGGCTCCCCCTTTCAGTCCACAGTCTGCTTGTGCGCCTGAGTTAGAGCAGGCATATCCCTCTAAAGACCTGTCATGCTCTGCATACTATCATCCTGCTGTTTCCTGAAAGTCCCCACTGTGTCCAACACATCTACATACAGTGCTCAGGACAATGGTGAACAAAATAGAAATGCGTGTGCATTTTGCTAAATACTCTACGGAAGACACATATCTAGAAAGCGGCTGCTATGTTAATCAAGCTCACAATCAAACCTGCAAAGGGATGCTGTGCATAACACCATATAAATTGACCCCAGACAGCAGCCCATCATCCTCATCCTGGATGACACTATCCAAGGTCATAGGTTGTCCTTGTCAATGCTTAGACATCTGGGTTACTAAGAGAAAATACAGTACCACGTTTATAGGGGTTAAGAGTCAAGTTTTGAGATTCTCTGATTCAATGAATATTTATGGTTTAACTCCTAAATCAAGGCACTGTGGGAGACAGGGAGAACCAAAAGGTGCTTCCAGAACTGGATACTAAGGGAGGAAGTGTTTACTTCATAGATGGTTGCCAATCTTACCATTCGTGCCCCCAACTGCCACATGTAGTACACACTCCCCCACCCCCTAACTGGAGTGTTAACAGTGCTAAACTGAGTGTTGTCATTTAGCCAAACATCCATTAGGGACTGGGGTGAGATGAGGAGATCGTCAAATGCATTTTCACTCGTGGCCCAAGCCAGGGCATGTAAACACCACGACAGAGAGAAAACAAATATCACTCTAACTCTGGCAGGGTTTAGAAACAGCCTAGAAGCTCACAGGCGCCAAAAATCATTTCTTTTAGTAGCCTTAAAAAATGTAGCTCTGGGCCGGCCCCTCTGCCAAGGGTTCGGATCCCATGTAGAGACCGGTCCGCTCACTGGTTGAGCGCGGTGTGGGCGCGACACTGAGGGCTGCGATCCCGTTACCGGTCACGAAAAAAGACAAAAAAGGAAAAGAAAAAAAAAAAAAAAAACAAAACGTAGCTCTGGGATCTTAACTGAATTTATTAGCAGAACTACTAGCATCAGCAATCTGGAGCAGTACCACCTGACATCTTCTTACCTAACATCCTCAGGGCTTCAGTGCTGGTTGCTTTCTATAAAAAAGAGCATTTATAGTTTAGACATCAAAGTGCTTGTAAGGTTTTCCTCACATGGAAGACATGTTAAAATGTGACCTGAATGCTGAAATAATGTGCATCGGTGGATGGTCAGAGACCTTTGACTATAAGCTGGCTAAGCTTTGGCTAACGAGGCACCTGGTCACAAATCCAATGTCCATTCCAATACTAGACATTGCTCTTAAGAAATCCACTAACAATAGTGAAACTTTTAATTCTGTTCTGAATTACTATCTCATTAAAAACCAAAGTAAACTACTTTATTAAAGAGCAATTTTCCCCTTGATGACTCAATTCAGAGAACATTAAGAAACCCATCTTGGTTCCTGGATATTTCTGAGTTTCTTTAGTGACCCACTGTCTACATTTTCATGTAAGCATTTTACCAATTAGTAACATTCCTCTACCTGACTTAAGAGGATGTACGTCTTTACTGGTTACATTTTATCAAAAACTTCCCAGATAACTTTCTGAGACCCTCAAGACACACTCTACTGACTATGCTGGGTTGTAAGGGCCTAAGAATCCAAATCTGCCCCCACCCCAACTTTATTCTGATTATTATTTGTTTTTGAGAAGTGACAGCAGTGGCATGACAGAAAGGAGCTTGCTTTCTGGTGGAAGACATGCATAGGTTTAAATTCCAGCCTCTTCCCCACCAGATGGGAGACCTAGGGCAAGCTGATCCAACCCCCAGCTTCAGTTGTCTTACGTGTAAAATGGGGACACTGACATCTGCTCTTGGGGTTGCCAGGAGGATTAAAAAGAATCACACCCAGGTTCCAGCATGCAAGAGATGCACAATAAATCTGGATTGCCTACTGCCCTCCCCCCTTAATGCGGGCTTATAGGGTTTGTCTTCCAGAAAGAACTTAATGGATAAGCGACGGGAAACCTCTCTGTGTCAGGCTTTATGGTAAGCACACCTCCTTTGGCCTAGACCCTCCTGAGCTGGGCAAGTCCTGTGTTCTCCATTTTACTGATCAGGAAATTAAGCTCAAAGAGTTTAGGTTATTTTCTAGAGTCACAGTTACTCGGTGGTGAAACTGAGACTAGAACCCAGGTTCTCTAACCTTTACTGCTTTCCGCTAAAATGTTGAATTCTAGAATACGTGGGACTGAGTGCAAGATCTCATGCAAGGTTGGGAACTAAACTCCAAATTAGGATAAATCACCTGACTTAAATATATGTAGGCTATGACAGTCAAGCTGTGACTTAAGCTTGAGTACACATGCACCTATACCCAGAGACCATGCTGACTTCATAAAATACAGAAAACAACAATTACTCCATTTTAATTTCTTTTTGCTTATTAAGGTTGTGTGTTTGTTGACTGTCCTTTGGCACTTTTAACTTTGGTGAATAAATCTTTCACCAAAGAAAAAAGAGAACTGCTTGGAAGAGGCTGTATGGCAGACTGTGTTTTTTTCAACCCTTGAAACCTGTCTTGCCTGGACCTTCTCTAAATTGCCTAAGAGCAGACACGACACTGAGACAGGCAAAGCAGCTCAGAGGAAGGCTGCCCCCTGATGTCAATGTGTGCGTTCCATGCCAGTTCATGCACCTACCCCTGGTTTTCTTTCTTAACTTGTGCAGCCCCTTATTACTGACACAAGCAAGCCTACGACTAGCCATTCTCCTAATTCTGCAGACTCTAACGCCCACAGCAGTGATCTGTGAAGGAGAAGCCTTGTTTCAGAACCATCTGGGCAACTTCAGCCAACCACTTGCCCTTCTGAAAAGTTCTGGCACCCCAAAGTTTCACTGTCA